AAGTGTGTCCGTTTGGCACCAGCTCACATGTGACTGCTATTCCCAACCTTTCTATGAGCAGCACATGTCAGGACATTAAGGCACACTGTGAGTGAATGGACAGACACGGACAACTTTCCCTTTTCCAAGAGTTTCGGGGTCTCTGTTGAGGTTAACTTTCATAGTTCTTGATGTTTGGGCTGCCTCAGAGTGCCTCTTACTGATAGATACAAACAGACTATGATATTTACCCTGAAACGCCAAAGCCAATTGCCCATACCAATCACTGTAGCATCAGTTACTATAGTACTTGAGCTTTTAGCTGAGATTCTGATGTTTCTACCAGACCTGGAGGGACCGCTCGTGAAACCAGATGTTCTCCTGCTGCCTGGTACTGAAGGCGTTGGGGCTCAACAGGTTAACAACACCGTGCTTGTCCTATACAGCCTGAGCACATCGACGCTCTCTGCAGGCACGTTCAAGAGTTTCTTGATATTCAAGTAATCAGAGAGTCAGTCTCCTTTCTCTTCACCTATTGTGGTAATCCGGTTGTGCATTCACTATAGGAAACTCAACTTTCAGATGATAAAGGTTCACACGTCCCAATCTAGAAGCCACTTTGGTTGGGTTTTTGGGCCAGTTTGGGTTTTTCTTGACCTAAAGTCTGTTTATTATCAGATTGAGGAAGAGGAAGCAGATAAACCCAAGGCTGCCTTCATCTGCCCCCTGGGCTTCTGTGAATTTAACTGCATGCCTCAAGACAAATGCACAAAGCAAACTTCAAAGGCTAACAGACCAGGCGTGGTGGATAGGCAGTGGAAAGAGGTGCTAGTTTCCTCAATGACTTGTTGACCGTGTTCTCCAAAACCCTGAAGGAACATGAAGCAAGGTTGTTGGAGGTTGGACCGGTACCGGGCCGCGAGTCGTTTGGTACCGGGCTGTGAGGTACTGGTTTGGTACTGGGCCGTGAGTCGTTTGGTACCGGGCTGTGAAAGTTGAGGCTCAGGTGTGAAATTTATGGTTTTCAGGGTTTTTATTGTTAACTCAGTTTCCCTGGGTCTTTTCCCAGGTGTTATGAATAAATCTTTTTTTTTTTGGTACCGGTACTGGTTTTATTTTGTTGTATTTATCCGCGACACCTTAAAGGCCGGTCCCTGAAAAGACTGTCGGACATAAACCGGTTCATGGCGCAAAAAAGGTTGGGGACCGCTGGATTAAAACGATCACCTGCAAAGTGTGTATTTTTCCAGATCTCAGTGTGGTAGCTGGGGCATGTGGAGCCCCACAGTAGAGCTGGGAAGGTTTCAGAGAAGATCTCTGCCCTGTGTACCTGCCCAGGTCATCAGAAGCTCAGAGAAACCCGTCCGACACAAGCCTGGATTGAAGCGTATAGATGCCACAGTTCCAGCTCACTGGATGCTGAGTCAACCCACAACTTTGATGTCCACACATCTCTGAATCCAGGCCTATTTGGTATAAATAAATAGATTTATTTGGGTTTCCTAAGGAGCCTACATTACATTTTACAGTGAAAAACTATAAACAAAAATTCACCGCTTCATATATCATGTCTGCTTCAGGGCCATAAAACTCTCTAAAATCTTAACCTCTAAAAATGGGGAACAGGGTATAAACTGGCTTCCATCCTTGAAGAGTTCGTGCAATTTTTGGTAAAATGAATTAAAGCTTCAGTTTAGTCACATACTGACTGTTTGCACAGAGGAAAAACTACAAACGTGTCTTTGTCCCAAACATCACTGACGACACACAACGATCAAAAATCCAGTGGAAGGAAAAATGTGTCTTTCTCTTCCTAACTTTCCAACGTGTCCACGTGGGTCTCTCATGAAGACTCTTTAAAATATGATTGGTTACTAGTTTGAATACAGGCTGAATAATAACTGTCGTTGAAGGCGGCGCCATTTCCCCATCAAATTATACAAATCAAAAAAGCATCCCGCTCTCGACCTCGTCTTCAGTTAATGTGGCCCATCTCATCAGGATGTGAGACAGACGTCCAGCACACGTGACCCTCCGTCAGAGTTATTTGCTTGTGATTAAGATCACCAATTTGATCCTTTAGCATTTTAGCTTACATGTGAAAAGCCCAATTTAATTACAGGAGCTCCACAACACTCAGACTGAAGCATTACTGGGAAGGTAATTGCTAAATGTGTGAAGTGAATTGTGGTATTGGGAGGTTAATGGCAGCCAAGCTTCCCTTGACACAACAGAACAATTATAGGGTGCTTTTAACATCTCTGTGCCACCTCACTGAGCTGCAACTGTTATGCTAAATCAATGTGACCCTCTAGCATATGACATAACATGACATAGTCACACAGTATTTACAAACAAGTTATGAAACTACTTTTATGCTTAAAATATTAAATCTATATAATTTAACTTGAAAGCAAATTTGATGGAAAATGAAGCTGAAGCTTGTTGTGACCTCATAAGGTTAAATATGTTGTTTATAAGGTTAAATATGATTGATTGACACGCCAACAAGCCATCAGAATGTCTTTTTATATTTATTCCTAAGTACGAACAGCCTTTATATCAGAATACTTTATTAATCCCAGAGGAAATTATATCTATATATCACAGTGAAGCATTATGCACAGGAACACCTACATTTGCTGGAGTGTCTTGGCTCCTTATTGGTTGAAAATGCGGTGATGAAGCACAATGTATGACAAAGAAAGACTAATGAATCTGAGCACAGACAGTTAAATAACCGAGTGCCTAGAAAAGCGCCGGCCTGGTCGAACCCAACGATGACAGTCCTCTAAGAAGCTTTCTGTAGCACAAATGTGGCTCATACTAGCGTTAGCATTGCTTTACTCAGCTGAGTATGGTTATGAACTTAACAGTGGCTCATGAATCGCTGCACAGAATATGCACATTTTTGGTAGGAATGTACATTATTGCATGATGTGAAAACATTGATTGTTGTAATATTTCATTATTGGCAGAAACTGTGTTAAAAGAGCCGAACCTGATGCAAACAAAGAGGACCCCAAGCTTTACTTCAGTTCTTGCTGACTGTTGATTGACTGTTTTAACAGCCAAACAGACGTTTTTGTAAAGTGAAACATGTTGAAATTAACGGCAACATTTTTCCACATTTAGCTCAAAACCGTACAAAAACGTCTTTTTCGAGTCATTTTTTACAACATTTAGTAAAATAATTGTAACTTTTTATATTTAAAAACAGTTTTAATGTTAAATCTAAATGTTGAATCTAAAATAAATAAAATAAATAAAAGCTTTATGGAAACCTCCGGTGCAAAGGTTTGCTGGTAGTGGTCAGATTCTGGTATTACAAATATTTTGCCAAATGTTGTAAACAATGACTTGAAAAAAAACATGTTTTTGTTCGGTTTTGAGCTAAATGTGAAAAAATGTTGCCGTTAATTTCAGCATGTTTCACTCTACAAACGGCGCCCATGAGGATTAACAACGAGGTCTGATACCAATGTTGTTTAGTGAACACTGAGAAATGCATTGATTTCAATGGAAAATAGTGAGAATACATTTAGTGTCTTTGTCCTGTGACGTTAGTCAAATAAGCACTGTGATGATCACATCATCTACACAAAGAGAATGTATGTCATTATAAGTAATCTTATTTTAGCGAACAGGAAATAGAGCTCTGTGTGTGTGTGTGTGTGTGTGTGTGTGTGTGTGTGTGTGTTCTGCCACCTCTGTCTCTGTGAAACAGGAAGCTCAGCTCTCATTGATCAAGCACTCTTGAGTCATGGCAGCTGAGGAGTCATCAGACTGACAGCACGGCTGCAGATTGCTTTGACTGCCTCTTTAGCATTTCACAGATTTAAGTCCAATGGAAAACTGATACCTGCTATCAGCAATCAATACAGCAGGACCCCCTCAGCACTACTGTGTCTCCTGCTCACCACTTTGGGTGGCGATGCAGAAACACACTGATCATTTCATACCACCAAACCAATCACACACTGGATTTCCTCTCAGCGGTGAAACTTTGGCTCGACTTACATTTTCAGGCTCTCAGATCTTTGCTTAAAACCCTTCAAGCTCCGTCTTTACAGGTTCTTTAAAGTCAGAAAACGCATCTTTGGTACCTCATGTAGCAATAAGGCTTGCAGCAGCCAGCACAGCACTGGACGTGCTGTCAGGTAACGTAATGAAGTTGTTAATTCTTTCACTGAGTCACTTGTTTGTCACTTGTTTGTGTCCTGGCCAAGGGCACAGCAGTTTTGCAGTATTAGCATTCATCTCTTTGGCCTTTTCATGAATAAATCAGGCTGGTAAAATTGCCACATTTACATCTCATTTTACACGAGCACAGAAAGACGCCATAACCGCCTATAGTTAGCTTTGCAAGGCTCTTTCCTCATTGGAGTATCTGTTATCACAGATCCAGGTTTCAGAGGTTTTAGATTTCTTCGTTTATCATGATGCAGAGAACAACATCAAAAACACAACAGAATTTCAACTCTGACAACAGGGTTTAAAAATGATTGTACCAGTTCTTCCCAGATCAGCACAGAGTACGTTTGAGCAGTGCTGATTATCTGAAACACCTCACAGGCATGTGCACTGGAAACAGCCCGGAGGTGGTGGTGGGGGGTGGGGGGGGCTACAGAGGTGTTTGACCAGCTGGTACTAAAGGTTCAGCACAGATCTCATAGCGATGCCTTTGCTACCCACATGCTGTCTGCAGGCGGGACAGCCACCAACCAAACCGACCTCCTCGAACACCTGCAGCCAGATCTGCTTCCACGTCTGTATCTCATGTTCAGTGTGATGCAAGTCAACATGTTTGTTCCATTTTTCCATAATAGACTCGTATTCATTTGTAACACACGCAGATCTATCACCATGAGGTGATCGCTTTCATCAGACAGGCTATAGGATGCATCAGTGCAGTGCTCATCACACTGAAACGAACCAGCTCAAACCACAGCTCCCTGCTCGACAGCTACATCTGCACAGATCCTCACTGAGCTGTTAGCTCGCCATCCTGTATCAGGAGTGTTTTGACTAACAGGGGTCAATCTTTGTCCTTAAACGCTCTACATGCCCAATCTGCTCCATAGTTCTTCAATCCTCCGGTTGCTGGGCTTTCATGCAACCACATGAATCATGCAGATCTATTGATGTCACCTGCAGCTATTAAACACTAAAAGCTAAAGAGTGTGAGAAGTTTCTCTCTATAACGCTTCACTTTGCAGAAGTGAGGGGAAACATTGGTGATGTGTGTAACGTACGAGTGTGCATGCAGGATGTAAACTGTGGATGATTCTCCACCACAGTACAAAACCACCTGTGCCAAAGCGTGAGGGCTTGCAGTGTGGTCCATGCTGCATGTCATCATGTGTTAACCAGCAGTGTGTTATCGTACTCTCACATGCCTGCAGAGGAGAAACGGCAGCCAAATGTGCTGCAGCCAGCATTGACTGTCGCCAGGCAAGACATGGAGCCCCGGCTCACACAGGCAGTGTCCACACAGGCCACTTTATTCATACACAACATTAAACCTGACAAAAACCCAACTAACAAAAACTGCTCTAAGCTACAGCTACAAGGCCTCCTGCAACGTAAGGCACAGCCCTTTGTGTCATTCTTCAATCAGTGTCAAACCAACGGGTGTTAAGACCAAGTCATCCTTGAATTTAATAAAAGATGTCAAGAAACAGTTTTGGAAAATCCATCACAGGTTACCAAGTTAATCCTGTAACATTGACTCCATTAAGAAATTGGATGGATGATGACTTGAGTTCAGTTTTGGTTTCTTCACTTCTCTGCAGTGGACGGATGCATCAGTGAGGGCGTTGAGCTGGAGGACCGGGCTGTGGTTGGCTGCTGTGTCATGTTGTACAAGCAGAATCATCTATAGATCAACGTGACAAACACCAAAGATTTGATTGTGGACATTAAGAGGACGCCTGTTTCAATCGAGGGGGCGATGTGGAGGAGTATTCATACCTTAGAGCAGTGGTTCCCAAACTTTTTTCGCTGGGCCCCCCCTTTGTTTTACAGAAAAATGTTCGCGCCCCCCCCCGCGCACGCGCGCACACACACGCACGCACCAACACATCCTCCAACCACACACGCCCATATTTTGCTCCATTGCGGTTTATTTCACACCTCAAACATTTAGTAAACAATTAAGCAAATACAAGTAATCTGCAGGTAGTACGAAAATAAACTACGAACTC